TTGGCACAGGACAGAGCAGAGTTTAGGGCTGTTGTACATAGGATCGCTATGAGTCGCAAATGACTCATCGGCACATAACAACAACAGCAACAACAACAACATGGAATCGTTAAATACTTAAGAGTACTTAGCAGTACCTCATTTTCTCTTAGAGGTTTAATGCTATATTGAGCAAGATGACTTTCAAAGATAAACAGTCCTGAGGAGATTGATGGTTTTTCTGTCCATTGTTAATAATTGGGTTTTTCCCCCAATATTTATTTATGGAAAGTGGACACTGCAGATTCTGTAGATGCAAGATTGACAGCACAATTGCTGAATTGCTGCTTAGCTTGAAAAAATGATATGAAAGTTGTTTTTATAGTCATGAGATTGTAGGTGTAGATTAAATTTTTTCTTAGAATAGTTGAAGTTGACTGCTGTTTTGATTACTGGACATATTTCATTATTGAAATAGATACAAATGAAGGGTCTGGGGAATGGTAAAAGATTGTTATTTTATTTGTGGTATATTCTTTTTTAGAAAATTACCTAAAGACATACTGAAATATTAGCATTTTTTAGTTCTGGGTGGCATTTACTTGACTTTTTTACAGAATATTTTCTATACTTTCTGTATTTAGAAACATTTTCCAACTAGGAAAATAGATCCTAAAAAACTTTGTTTAGATATGGTTAATAGTCTGAACCCAAGTTTCATTAATAAATTGGGAAAAGGTGTTGGGTTTCTTTTCTTTTTTTTAAGAAAAATAATAGTATACTGATTACTATAATTACTACATAGTTAACCTTATGTTGGTTCTTTGAATCATTGATTTCAGCTCCCCACCACCATCTTAGTCAACCTGAGAGAATCTGTGTAGGCCTATCTGTGAACAGTTATTCTAAAACCTGATGCTAGTGCGTTGTGTTAGAGTGTGGAATACTACTGTTCTGTGAGGCTTTCTTAGCTGCAATTTTTGTAGATCATCACCAGAGCCAACTTTTCTTTTACCAGTCCAGTGTGGACCAGCTGTGCAATCCTCTAAGGAGGTAGGAAACAGAAGCGAGTAGGTAGAGTGGTAGAAGCTGTCTACCCCTGGGGGAGACAGAGGCCCTCCCCTAACTCATACAGATGCTTACTCACATTTTAATTGTACCCTATTTAACCACTTTTACCTTTCTGACATCTCTGTATCTAGGGCACCAGAACTAGCACCTCTGAAAAGTAAAATGATCTATGCAAGCTCCAAGGATGCAATCAAAAAGAAATTCCAAGGTACGATATCAGCTGACTTCCACATAGAGTTGTGGGAGGTTCCTGGAATTGGGATGACAGCTTTTTAAAGCTGCACATTGTCTTCTTTGGGTAGGCTTGGATACAAAGAAGTATCACTTCTTTTAAAAAAGAAAACAAGATTTTAGTGTGTCGTTTGCATGGTACAGGCATACCCAGCAGCCTGTTCTTTCTTTGTGTGTCTCATATTTTGATAATTTTCCAAACACTTCATACTTTTTTTGTAAAAGTATTACATATTCAGTAGACTACACTATAGTGTAAATATAACTTCTATTTTTGCTGGAAACCAAAACCATCTGTATCTTGTTTTATTGTAGAAATTATACAGTATTTCTCTGTGTTCACTGAAGTTGCAGTTTGTCCCAACGTTAACCTGGACTGGCCACTCCTGGCTCTGAACTGCCTGTGTTAATTCTGGGCACACATTGAATGTCTGTGCTCAGGCTGGTTTTTAACTATTTGGAAATATTGCCAGGTTTTCTACATAGTAGGAAGAGATTAAATGGTTAGTGTTGGTTGTAACCTAGTAAATTTGCTGTTATATTTGAACATAGTTGATTTAATAAAATTGCTGAGAGAATGTTCTTAAGTGGGAAAGCTGAATAGTCTATACTTTATTTTTCAGTTATATTATGACTTTAGGTAATTGTCCTATCTGTGTCCAGAGAAAGAAAGGTACACTCAGTCCTTGAGTTGGCTGCTTACATTTCACTGCCGCAGACAGTATCCTGATGAGGAGGTCTGGCCATACCTCCTCCCTGTGGCCTGGCAGAAATATTGGTATGGCAGGAGGAGCATGGGGCAGGTGCTCAATGACCCGCACTGAGGGCTCAGCTTACCTTCTAACAGCTGTGTGACTTGGCACATCTCTTAATCTCAGCCGACTTGGTTCTCTCAGCCAAGAACAAGAATCCTGACTTGGATCCTGTGTGAGCTTGGTCTAACGAGGCTCCCCAACACCTCCTTCCATGGCTTTCTCCGACAGCGAAGCCACCCTCACAAGAGTGGGCCCCTGTGTGGGGTCTTTGTTTGATTTACTGTGACTGACTTTTATATGCTTATTTACCCATTTAACAGGTTTGCCCTAGCTTGTTTTACTTAGTCAGGAAAGCAATTATTTCCCTTCCCGAGCCTGCAGCTGCTTGTTCAGTTCCTTGTCAGTTCCCTGTGCATTTGGGTTTATGCTGAGATGTCCTCCAGGAGCTTGCCTAACAGCCTGTTAATTTATGTTTTACAGTGACTGATAAGTTTCAACACTTCCAGAATGCAAATGGAAGCAATGTGGAATGGATTTTTTTTTATAGTCTTTATTCTGTATTACCCTGTGGGAAAGGAAATACTATATTAAACTTGATTTGTTGTTTTGTATTGTTGAGCAGGAAGCAACTCAGCCTGTGAATTTCAGGGGAGGGGATTGCCCATCTTTCTCCCATGGGGCACCTGGTGGATTTGAACCACTGGTCTCAGGGTTGAGAGTACAAAAGCTATTTACCACAGTTCCCAGATTTAGGGATTAAAAAATTGTTTTCTCAGATCAATAGTCCTAACTTAACTATAAACTGCCTGTTAGGATTTCAGTAGCTTCAGAAATAATCTTAAAATTATGAATAATTCAAAACAGTGCAGTTATGTTAAGAGAGAAACTGCTTTATACAGTTCCATAATTGATCTTATTGTGCCATGTGTTGACAGTGTTTCTGAGAAAGCAGTTGGGACACTTTGCACATAATTATCAGTATGATACATTTAAAAAAATGTATAGTGCAATTCTCCCTCAAGGAAGCAGTTTTGCAAAGCAAAAGCAACGCAATTTGTATATATTTTCTTTAGTTGTAGACTAAAGTGGCTATTCAAAATAGCTAACTCATTTCAGTTTTCTTTTTTAAAAACCCAGCTATCATTTGTATTGAATTAGTGTAAATTACTGTGTTGCAGACTTCACAAACTGAACATAGGTTGTTTCTTGAATTAATGACAAAAACCTCAGAATGCTTCCTCTGCTCCTTCATATGAGGATAACCAGGATCCAGTTTCTGACAGCATAACCTGGCTTTGGCTGGTTCTGTGAAACTATATATGGAATAATACAGAATGTACACTTGGATGTATAGCTGCTTTCTATTTTGATGCATGAAGCTATATGTCTTTCTCATTATTGTGTAGTATTCTAGTATTTGTAAATGTCTTAGTTTAAAAAACAGCATTTCTTATATCTTAGAAAAAAAACAGATAAGCTGCTCTTATAACTCTAAATAGAGTTGTTTTTCCTTCCTAGGCATAAAACATGAATGCCAAGCAAATGGGCCGGAAGACCTCAATCGAGCTTGCATTGCTGAGAAGCTAGGTGGATCTTTAATTGTAGCTTTTGAAGGATGTCCTGTGTAGATTATTATTCAGTGCCACAAACCAAAAGCTTCCATGTTTAATGTTTTCTTTCTATATAAGTAAAGCAAATCTATTTAGGCCAGGGTCTCACGAAAGGGGAGCTATCTTCTAGAGTAAATGAAAAATTCTCTACACATGTGCAGATGGCCCTAAATTAGTCTAAAGTTTTATTGGTTTGAAATGAAATTCTTACTGGCCAAATGCCTTTCTTTGATGAGTTGGCTTATAAAGATTATAGTTAAAAGATTTTTAATGGTGCAGTTGACAAAATCATAGGCGGCCATAATGGAGAGACTTATTACATCCTTGTTAATCTCAGCAGTTACTTGGTTTCTTTGCTTAGAGAATTGGTCATTTTGGCCAAATTCATTATTCTTCATTGATCCAAGTTGAATAATGGAAAATAATTCTCTGCACAGCATATAACACTATACACTAACTACAGTAAGATTAATTCAGCCTTTCATTCTACCAGATAGGTACTGGAGACTGCCTCCAGATTTTGTACACTTACAGCCAATGCTGATCTTGCAAAGCACTATTTCCAGCACTTAGTGAAAGTGCAGGGTGCAGCTCCTGCACCACAGTGAGCTTCCTTGCTTAATAGTTCGGAGGTTGATCGTGCATCCTGGAAATCATGGTGTGTCCTCAGGACAATGTGCAATATCATGTAATGATTAATTGACTTAAAATGCAATTTAAGGCTCTGTTAATAATTTGTTAATGAAAATGATAATGTAGTATATTGACAAGGTAGAACACCTTTGGCTCCTTCAGAATGTTGCTGCTTCTGATACAAGGAGGATTGGAAGACTGTTGAGTACAGGTTTACTACTTAAGGGCCTGGGAGAACTTCATCAATTCATAGAGCAAGTTGCCCATGGAATTGGAGTACATATGACAGATGACAGTCCCAGGAAACATTTGTGATGGATTGGATGTGATTGTCTTAACATCAGAGATACACAGTTGAACTTAGAAGTAGTAGTATTGGCTTTATGTAATAAAGGAAGCATTTTTAACTTCTCTCTGGTGTAATTATTCCACGTGTGAATTGGGGATAAAGATCTTTCTTACCACCAAATAGAAGTTAAGCCCTCAGAATCTGGGTTGTTTTTGAACTAAGCTTCCATCTGGTCAAATGAGAAAGCTGGGAGTCTTTCTTATTCCAAGTTACTATCTAAATGCCAGATTTTTCTTTTTTATTTTGTAGGGGAATAACAAAGGTTATCAACAAAAGTTAGCATCTTTTTTTTCTCCTTTGTTAGCATTCTTTTAATCTTCCCATTCTGATTTCCTTACAGGAGAGCAGTGCATGTAGTGACAGTACACGACTCCATCTCCAGAGAAGTGTCAGAGGCTCAGGGTCATCCTGCAAAGCAGGCCATGAGGCGGTCAGGCATGGGGTTGAGTTGTAGAAGCATAGCTGTGTATGTGTGACACTTCTGCAGCCACCTCTTTGGTATAGTATGTACACGGGGTGCATGTAGGAGATGCCAGACCAGATACAGGGATGTCATAGAAAAGCTTCCCGAAACCCCACTCTTGTTGGGAAAATTAGGACAATACTAAGAGTTGCCTGTAAACTCCATCTTTCTTGGAGAAGCTAAGAAAATGACTGGCCGAGTTCTTGTAGTTGGGATCTCCAGGTGGTTCTGGTATCAAATCAGGGTGTTAACCCTTAAGTGACGTTGCTCAAAAATAAAACTGCAAGTGTACTATATCCAGAAAACATACATTCTCACAAACGATAATTATGCCCATTATAAAGTTTGTGGAACGCTGACTGGGATTTGATCAGTGATTACTCTTTTGCCTTAAGCAGCAAATGATGAAGTCCATCTTCACCAACAGCCCTGAGGCAAGAGATGGGAAGTCTACTTCTTAGAAGTGACTCAACTGAGAATTGCTCTGATTAAATGGGGTGGTGGCAGTTTCCTGAGTGGTTTTGTTTCTTCTTGGTAGGTGGAAGGGTGAGGATCTACTTACCTAGCAACTCCACAGGAGAAAAACTTCATTATCTGCTCTCCCATAAAAAATGTGCCATTGAGTTGGAAGTGAATCAGAGGCATTTCAACATGGGAGGATACCTTTCTCCCTCAAAGCATCTGGTGGATTCAGACTGTATGCCTCAAGTGGTAAGAATTGGCAGTACAGCTTAACTACTAGAGCTCCCATAAAGAATAAAGCCCAAAAACCCTATGGGACAGGTCTTTGCAAAATGAGACTGGTTAGAATTTAAAATTCACACTAACAACAATACAGAAATTTCAGTTAAGGAGGTTCTTATTCTAGAAGACACTGGTCTCAGCAGAATGGCAGGAGTAATAGAATTGGGGTTTCCCTCCCATGAAGAACCAAGCATCCTGTCACTTTGTCTTACTGGGCCTCCAGCCCCTTCCAGGAAGTTCTAGAATTGGCAGGATCAAGTGAAAATGCAGTGGCCACTAAACCAGAGACTCCAGGGCTCTTCACAGCCCAATGAACAGTCTTCCAGACGACTCTGCACTCACAGCTCCCTCCACCTGCACTTCCTGCCTCTTTCACCTTCACTTCATCTAAGATCCAGCTCAGAGCTAAGCTCTGAGGGTCCTGTCACAGTGCATGCCATGTTTCCACAAAGCTGGGTCTGGGTCTTGCAATTCAATGACCCTGCATCTGCATATGGCAAGCCAGCAAGTAGCTGGAGTGTGCCACAGTATAGTACTGGACAGGTTTGCATTTCATGGCAGTCACCTCTCACTGCCTAAGGTCTGTGCAGGTTCAGAGAGGACGACAGACTAAGGGCTGTGGTGGCCAGGGCTGTGTCAACGTGGCTGCCGTATTTCACGGGATACATTACATAAAACTACTAGTTTTGTTTGAGTGAAACCTAAACAAAACCTAAACATTTTGGTTTGTAGCTGTCTCTTCCCAAGGACACCTAGCTAAATGCCATCTCGTTTGATCTCCCAGCCAAGCTCAGTCAAGTCTATGAGGAGACAGCACTTGCTTCTAGAACTGTCCCATCCCTGAATTTGTTTAACCCTCCTATACCTCATCCCCCTTCTGCAAAGCTCCAGGTTTCTCATGCTGATACACAGGCCATCTTGGTCCTCTTAGCACACTTTGAGAAACTTGCTTCCAACTGGCTTGACTGCATTGGCCCTCAGCTGCCCCCTCCTCCCTTCCCATGGATGCTTATCCCCTCCCAGCCAGGACACACTCTTGAGTTCACCACCTGGAGCACACTGTTGAGCAGCACCTCTGCAGGAGGAGGGCAGGCCTGGAAGGGGCAGCGGCAGGTCAGGAAGCAGTGATTCCAAGTCAAGCCAAGGGCTGCTGATCCTTAGTCCTTTCTCTTCTGTATGAGGCCACCCCCCTCCTAATTCCTCAGGCTTGTAGGGGAGCCCCACATGAGACAAGATCAGTGCTGGCAACAATATGGGCTTTAATGGCATTAACATCCAGGTCACGCTCCTCGTTGGCAACTTCTTCCAGGGTGGGGGTGGCTGGGCCGAGCCCCTCCAGTCTTTGATAGGGCTTCTGAGAGCTGCCCCTGGACCCCCACTGCACGCATGCACGCACGCACGCACACACTGCACTGCACTGACAGACACACACACAGCCCAGCCCGGCCTCCCGGCACACCACAGCTTCTCTTCCAAAATGTGGATTCTGGGCTTTGGCATCAGCTCAGTGGTGGTCTAGGGCTGGTCTGGGCAATAGTGTTTATCAAATGTTCTTTAATAAACTGGGGATCTGGAAGATTTCTTTCTGTGGTTCTTAGAGACTCTCGCCTCGAATGGCTTCTCTTGGAGTTACTGGAAGTTGGGCCTGGATAACGCTGTGTTGGTTGGGTTTCTCTTTGTAAGGAATGTGTAAGGCATTTTGGTAAGTTGAACAGTAACAACTTTTTCCAGGACACTCAGACTGAAGTACCCTCCTTTGAGCTGCTACTGTCCGCCTGCAACAGAAGGGGAGAGTGAGGCTGAGGCTAGGCCAGGCTGTGACCCTACTCACTGCATACCAAGGGGGGCCCTAACCTGGATCAATACCCACAAACTACTGCAGTCTCTTCAGGCTCACTACAGTGGGTCTGACTGAGGGATTGGAGATTCTGGAGAAGTGTTCTGTGGAAGCTGTGGTCCCCCAGCCGAAGGGAGGTGGTGGTGGTGAAGTGTCAGCAGCCCACCTCCCACCATGTGAAGAGGGCACCATGGGGCACTGGAGTATCTCCGCGGGTCTGATGCCCACTACACCTGGCAGGGGTGAGCGTGTAGTGGTTCCCTTTTGCAGGTGATGTGGTCTTAGCGCCTGGGCAGGGCTCTGGGCTGCACACACCTGGTCCAGCTGCTCCTGCAGTGTCTTTACTCGCTCCCTCTCCGAGGCCAGCTGCTCCTGGGTAATCTTCAAAAGCTCCTGCAGCTTGGTAGCTGCACGGCCTAGGTCACTTGTCAGCTTCTTCTCTTTGTCTAGTCTTTCCTGTGGCCAGAAGGATGGGAAGGGGACAAAGGTGGGTCTTGGTCATCTACCAGCCTAGCTGTAGAAGGTTCTATGATGACCTTTCATGATGTCCAGCGCAGGAGCCATCAGATGTGTGTGGACACTGAGTACATCAAGTGTGGTGAGAACTCCTGAAGAACCTTTGTCTAGCCATGTCTCCTCCCAGGCTTAGCACCCCCACATCCTCTGCACCCACAATTACGGGCTAGGACTGGAGAAGTCTCTAGGCTAGCTCCTCCCCACTCCAGCACAGGACCCCTTGATGCCAGGGCCGGCTGTCTGACTCCCACATTAGGTCCCGCCTCGGGGTGTTCCCACCCCCACCTTCAACTGCATGACCTCCTGCACTTCTGAAGCCCCCTGGGCAGTGGTGGTGCGGAGTTTGTCCAGCTCTTCTTGTAAGCAGCATGCAGCCTTCTGAGCCTTGTCAGAGGGGAGAGAGGAGCAGAGTCAGCAGAGAAGCCCTCCCCACACTTCACTGGAAGGACAGGACTTCCACAGTTTGGCCTGCCACGGTCTGTCCTCCTAACATGCCCCATTCACCCCACAACTGAAAGGACAAAATCACAAGCAGGTCCTCACCTCCTCAAACTCAGCCACAAGCTGTTGACGCTGTGCCTGCTCGCCCTGCAGGACGGCCTCTGTCCTCTCCAGCTGCGTTTTGAGCTGCGTGGGGATCACAGATGGACTGAAAGCCTGCCAGAAGGGCCCTCTCGGAGCCCTCCACACTCAGGCAGGCCCAGACCTGAGACCTCATCCTCGGTGTGGGGACTGGAATGGCTGGAGGAGATGCTGACCTCAGGCACCCTGACAAGGCACCAAGCAAGTCTCCACAATGGCTGGGCTGGCCTGCAAGTGTGTGCCTACTGGGTCCCCCTCCCAAAAGCCACATCCCTGGAACAAAGGTCCACCCCCTGCAAATGTCAGGCTTGGAAAGGCTGTCCCCACGGAGCCACTGTGATTAGTGAAGGGGATGCAAAGTCCACAGGCAGACTTGGCGTGGGGGAGGCCCCACATGGTTAGTGACACAACTGGGACCGCTCACCGCCCTAACCTCGGCAGAGTCCTGCTCAGCTGGGGGGGCCTTTGAGGGGACAGCCAGAGACCCCGCTACTTCACCATCCTCTACACGGCTCTTCATCTCACTCAACTGCTGCCTGACCTGAAATGGGGAGGGCAGGTTTGTGCAGGGACATGGCTTCTGGGCCCCGACCTCATTGTGCAGGGCCCCACATTCAGGTGACTGCTGCTGCCCTCAGGTGATTCCAGTGACCTAGCATGGGGACGGTGACACATCCTGTACCACGTAGCATGCAGGCTTTCTGGGGCGTCGCCCAGTGCCTCGCTGGACCTGTCACCAGACCCGACACCAAGAATGGCCCTGGCAGGTGGTTCTCAGCCAGACCACAACCCCAGGCCCACAAGTGATGGAATCCTCTCAAAACACCAGAAAGGTGCAGGGTGAGATTTGGAAATCTAACAGTTTCTACACATGCAGAAAGTGACCTGATTTTTAAAGGCCTCTTCAAGACAAAAGAACAGACAGCCCTGTCTTGCATTCTATTGCCTGCCCGCCGCCACCCATTCTGACAACGAGCTCAGCTCTCCCGGAGCTGGGAACTGAGCCAGATATAGCCCCTCAGAAGGGCTCATGGCATAGCAAGTGCCTTCTGGCATGTGGGAGGGTGTTCAAAGCAGGGCTGGCCATTCTAATGTGTGACCAAACCAGGCTAAGGCATGGCTCCAGTGAGAACAGCCTAAGACCAGAGTGTATCACAGGATGTGGGCCACAGCCCCCACCTAAGAAGCCCTCATTGGAAGCCCTTATTCCCAGTCACCCACATTGGCTGAGAGGACCACATTATGGGGGACAGAGAGGAAAGCAAGTGTGACTACCTGGTGCTGGCAGCGACTAACCAGCTCCAAGTGCCTGGGAAACAGGTAGTGAGTCCCCTGGCACATGGACACATGCCCACTGTGCTGAGATGCCTTGCCTGGTACACACAAGACATGCACAAATGCCTATGTGCAGTCACTGCACACCTGTCACTGTTCCTCAGGGGACAACAAAGGTACTTACCAGGGCAAGCTCGTCGCTTTGCTTCTGGGCTTCACTCTTGGCTGTGTCCAGCTGAGATTGGGATTCTAATAAAAGCTTTCTCAACTTAAGAGAGAAAACAGACATGGTGTGAGAGGGAAGAGCACAGAGGTGGCCAGTTACTAGGAGCCAGCACACAGTGAGGTGCCTCCCCATCATCAAGGAGCATGTGGTGGTCAAGGGCACCGCTGAGGAGCAGGGCATAGGGGAGTAGGGCATGGGGGGTTGAGGCTGTGTCCTCCTGGAGGCCCACCTTGGGGATGAAGTCAAGCCCAAGGGCTTCAGGGGTGTGCCTTCTGCTCTAACAGGAAGAACGTACTATTGATCTAAACTATTCCCCAGAGTGCTGTCACTGGGCCAGTAGTGTCCTGTACCACCCTCTGGTGTAAGCCCCTCTCTCTGAGGATCTGCTGGGTGGGCACACTCACCCCCGCCACCTCTGTGGAGTAGCTCTGGCACTCCGCGCTGGCCGCTGCCATGTGCTTTTCCAGCTCTGCCTCCAAGTGTGCAGTGTGTTCTCGCAGCTGTGACACATCCAATCACACAAGTGTGCATGCATCCACACGTGCACAGGTACACAGCAACATGTCTGATGTCTGTACCACCAGTGGGAGTGCCAACCCCAGGGAACAGGTGACTAGATCATGTCTAGCCTAGCCCACTGGCCACTTCAGACTGGAGTCAACAGCTGACTGCATGGAGCCAACACAGAATGCAGATGGGGCCTGGAATGGCATTGCCAGGCAGCTCTGACTGCACTTGCAGCAGATGGGTCCTGTCTTAGCTCTTAGATTTATCTCAAAACATCTGCAGGGCCACCTGCTGCAGAGGTGTCAGGGTGGGATCTGATCCCCTCTGCCATGTATGTACTGCACAGGGCTCGCCTTAGCTAGCCAAACCTGGGTGGTTCTGAGGGTCCCATGTGTCTCGGCCACACTTAGGTCAGGAAGACCTCAGTGAAAAGAACAGGTTTGATAGAGTGACCAAGTTTGGTAACTAACCGGTTTTTAAGAGAAGCATAAGGAGCATGCTTGTCCAAGGGGTGAGGATTATTTTCATCTGGACATGAGTCTTGTCCAGGGGCTCAAAAGATGGGAAGTCACACCAGGCAGGGCCCTGCACACACCTGATCAGAACTCTCCAGCTCTCCTCTCAGCCGCTCTACCACCTCTTCAAGGTGCTTCACCGTGATGTGAGACTGGAAACAAGGGAGACCCTTGAGAACCCAGATGGCTGCTGCATCTCCTCTTAGAGGGAGACCAGGAGTCTCCAGACCAAGAAGGCTGCAGTGTCTCCGCCCCAACCCCAGAGGGGTGCTGTGTCTCCTCTCAGAGATTGGGGACCTTGGCAAGTAGGACAACAGCCTCCTTCCCCAGGCACATCAACTGTCAAACTGAGCCGGTCATCCCAGCCTCACAGTGTTCTATGGGGCTCTGGGCAGCACAAGACGGGCCATGCAGAGCTCAGATGTCATCGTGCAGATGAGTGTCCCCATTAGCCCCTACCCCTGGGGCTGCCAGTGTCACCTGATGCCAGGGTGTGGACCCATCTTACTGGGTTATGTTGTAGCTGTTAGGAGAAGGAGGAAAATGTGCCCCTGTGCCCCATGGGACATGCTGCTAGACCTGGCCAGAACTGAGGGGCATGAGAGGGATGGCCCAGGTGCTGGGAGGTGGCAGTACCTTTTGCAGCTCCTCCTCAGCAACACTGACTCTGCTCTTCCACACTTGCTCTTCCTCCTCCACGCTCTTCTGCAGGTGCTTGAGCATGCCCTCCTGCAGAGGGAAATGCCGCACTCCTCACATACGAGGCCCCTGTAGTGGGGACCCTAGGGACACTCAGGTGAGAGCAAAGGTGGCCCAAGTCTTGGGTGCGTGTGCCATGGGCTGGGTGCCAGCAGACCTCAGGGCTACACTAGGTCTGCCACCTGAACAAAGCCCTCCTAATCACCAGGGCTTGGCCACACAATGAGATGCACTGACTGACAGAGGTCAGGAGGGCTCACTCTTGGGATCCAGGATGAGGTTCTGCCCTGCAGTCATTCAGTACTTCCTTCCTAGGGTGTTAAATTTCTCCTCCCCAAGGCTTTACTGACCTTAAGCCTTCCCACAATTCTACAGTTCTGGCCCACTCATCATTCAGTTAAAGCAGCAGGCCCAGGAAGGAGGGGACGGGCCCACGTTGCCCAGCATCCCTGCTTCAGCTGCAGGCTCGGCACCAGGGTCCCCACTCACCGTCTCGGCCAGGATGGTGCGGTACTGCTCGCACTCAGCCTGCAGGGTGCTCTGGGCGTTTTCTGCAGCTTGCAGCCTGGAGGCCAGGTCCTGGCAGAGGAAGCACAGGGCTGGCTGGTTAGCCTGCTAGATAATCTCACCAGGTTTCTCCTTGGGGGCAGCGAGGCAGTTCTGGGTTCCTGCCCTGCTCACCGAGGTAGACTCCGTGGGAGCCGGCAGTTGTGTCCGCAGCTTGGAGCTTTTTTCTCTCAGCTCCTGCAGCCACTCAGAGTAATTCTGCAATGGAAAGAAAGGTGGGGCCGGTGAAGCTGCTTGTGAAGGCTGAGAGTCTGTGTGGTGGGTGGAGCCCCCATGCCCTACCTGCTTCGAGGCGGTGCTGAGCTCTGGTAATATGGACTGCAGAGCTTCCCTCGTCTGTGTCTCCATCACACGCAGCTGCCGTTCGGACTCGTCCTGTGGGAAAGGGGAGTTCAGTGCTGTGGCTGTGGAGAGCAGGAGGCACACAAGGACACGTGGGTCTCTCCCAGGAAGGATACCTCCTGTCTCGGAAGAGAAACTGATAAAGGAGGTGGTACCTGGGAAGAGATGGTGGGGAGTATGGAACAGTGGCTAAGCCAGCATCCACCCCCGACCAAGCCTAAAGGAAGAACTGCAACGGACACCCCAGGGCCAGGAGACCCCCGAGGACAGGGGTGACCCCAGGGGCAGGAACGTCCATGAGGGGAGTAGTGTCCCCAGAGGAATGAGCACTCTCAAAGACAGGGATGTTCCCGAAAGCATCTGTGTCCTTGACAACAGGGGATTCCTGAGGGCAGAGGTGCCCCTGCCTGGTCAGGCTCAAGCCATGTTCCTTTTCCGTGTGTGTAGGGAAAGATTAGGGGTGCAGGGGGATTACAAATGGGCTTGGCATGAAGTGGTGGGCAGTGTGCAGGCCCTAACACTGCAGTCAGAATCTGACAGCACCCACCAGCCCCGGAGACTGTTCCCCACAACCCTGCAGAGAAAGCCAGGCAGGTCCCTGTTACCTCTGTTGAGGGCAAACACTCAGCAGGGCTCGGGGTCATGTCTGGGTCCAGGACCTTTCCTGGAGAAAGCCTGGCAGGCCCCAGCCAATGCAGAGGCCAAATAACAACAGGTGAGAGCCCACCAGTGAGGAAGCCGTTAAGGTAACACCCATAGGTTGTTAAATAACACATCCACCCAGGTGGCTGCTGCTACGAGGCCCAGCCATGGGCTGCCTGGTCATACCAAAGAGCTGACAAGGAATTCTAAACTGAGCAGACCTGCCTGGGAGGACAGGGTGCTGTGGAAGACAGTGGCAGACAACATCCTGCATGGCCCCTGCTCCTGCTCTGTACTCTGACCTGTAAAGTGCCCAAGCATGCCCAATTGTCCAGATAGGGCCCAAGGATACAGTTTTGTGAGGTAAAAGGTAAGAGCCAGGAGGTCTCAAGGCCAGTTTCTGAAGATTAATCAGAACTGGCTTTGACAAGCACTGTGGCATTTGGACAAGAACAAACTGGGAGGAGGGTAGAGAGAATAGTGCAACAATGAATGAGTGGAAGCCCAAAATCTCTGTAAATGTTTATGAAAATTAATAAAATATAATTATAGAAAAAAAAAAAGGCCAGTTTCTGTAAGTTATGGCTACATGACCATGTCAGGCAGGTAACCACTCCAGTCACAGTTGTGTGCCCCATGTGTCCAATGTCCCTGAGGCCACTCCTGGGGCCCAAAGGCCAAGGTTCCAGCAGCTCTGCCCTGAGGGGTCCTCTCCCCCAGCCTCACCTCGGTCCTCATCTAATGAAGAGGTCTGTTTCTTGGAGTATCCACTTAGGTCACCACAAGACATTCTTTAAAAGCAAGGCTTGGGGTGGGGATGGCTGCCCAGGGGGACAGAGACAAGGGACAGACACATGAGCCCAAAAGCCTAGAGAGTGCTGGTCACTTGCTGCTGCCCAGCTTGGGATACCAGGAGGCTATTTAAGGACTGTGCTGGGGATATTCCTGATGACCCTTCAGGACAATGTGGGAATACCCAGGAACACCTCGCACCTCCTAAAAAATCACTCAGAAAGGCCATCTCCCTTGTGTTTTATCTGTAAGATCAGTCCATGTGCTGAGCTTGTGTGTCCCATGGAACCAGAGAAGGAAGCAGATACAGGATATCCAGGAGTACAGCAGCAGGGGCCTCACACAGCTCGGCCCCCTGGTGGCAAAGGCCAAGAGCACACACGAGCCCTTTCTCATCAAAGGAAGTGGGGAGAGAGGGAATAGGCTATGTCCCCAGGAAGACTGCATTGGGTGCATGACCAGGGACCAGGTGCACTGACCTTGGCTTGCGTCAGGGACCGTAACTTGTCCTCACCAGCCCTCTCAGCTGCAGCCAGTGCCTCCATGGCCTTCCAGTTCTTCTCCCGGAGGTCCTGATGGGAAATGCGGGCAACCAGGGCTGTGGGGGCCATATAAGCTGCCCTGAGCACTGTTCAACCCAGCCCAAAGTGATCCAGAAGAGAAAATGCTTTCTCCCTTGGACCACTACCAGCTTGTGTCCTCTCCTGGGCAGCAATTCCCAAGAGGTCTGTTTTAGGAAGTCGGAGCACAATCCCCACAACCCAGAAGGTGGTGGAGCAAGGCACAGGGAGGCCACCACCAGAGCCAGCCAACTACTCAGAAGGTAGGATTCTGAGGAAGGGTCCTTCCTGCTGCTCCCAGGCCAGCTACCCCCTTGTCCCTGCCCCAAGCTGCCTTCTACATCGGCAGCAGAGTCCACCTAATACTCACGTTGTTCTTCATCTGCTGCTGCTCCACAGTTTCTCTCAGCTCTATAGCTTCTTTCTCCAGAGATGAGATTTGGGACTCCAGCTCCTGGAGGCTGAAGGGCAGCAACAGGGGGCGTGTTGCCCTGGTCCTTAGCCCCCACCATGTTCTATCTCAGGCGTTCCCTCTCCACTGTCCAGAGCCCTTCACTGACTGGCCTGAGGCCCCAGCCCAGCAAGGGTCAGCCTGCTGTATAGCCCACCTACAATACCAGGATGAACAGGAGCCATCTGGCCTGACTGCCCTCACTGTCACTCCCCGGGGCCACGGCCTATCCAGACTGGCTGCTGGGAAAGGAAGCCTGGCTGCAGTGACCAAAGCAGGAAAGGCCCCACGTGGCTTTCACATGCTTGTTCATCGCACATTCAGGTCTGGTGGGCCACACCCACCAGACCTGGTTACCACAGGACAGAGGTGCTGGCTTGTCTCTGTGGCTATGCTGACCCTCAGAAGAGCCCCTCAACTCAGAGTCACTGGTGCTCTCATCCACAGACAACCGAGACTCCTTAGTGGACTCCACGCTCTGTCCCAAACAACACTCTTCTACACATCACTGGAAGAGAGTCCATTGCCATAAACTGGACATGTGCTGGCCCTCGTCCATCTTCCTTTCTTGCTCATCCAGAAAGGGGCACCTCTGAAAAACAGGCTTCCGGGGGGCATGCAACGAGCCACTGTACTGGGATTTAGAAGGGCAGGGAATGCCCCAGGGTCATGTGAAACCTCAAGTCTGAAGCTGGCCAACGCTGAACTGAATCAAAGCAACCAGAGCCATCCTGAGGTTCGGGGATGAAATCACTGCCCAGTGTGTGTGTGTGTGTGTGGGGGGGAGGTCAGCACCCCAAAGGCAAATGCAGGCTCTGACCGCCACCGAGCAGAACAAATGTACTGCACACTCTCCCACCTGCCCACTGCTTAACCTGGCATGAAAACCCAACAGTTTGGTGCCACCACAACAATCAAGCCAGAAGGTCCAGAATCACAGATTGAAGACATTCATTAAGACATTTTTTATTAAGTCATTAGTTATCTAGGTGTAGACCAACATATGTATTAGATATTGTAAATCATGTTCAAAACTTGGGGAGAAAACATCATTCTAGTCACTGACGTTGCCTGTGACAATGCTGGCCATGACCCACTCAACTCTGGCCACTAAACTCAACAATGGTGTTTCATCCTAAATGAAACTTGCATTTGACCTGAAACTCAAGGCCACAGACTCTGCGTTCTCCATCCCAGGCCCCACTAGGCTCTGTCCGCTTCTGGCCAGAAACCCTGAGAACAAGACCTGAGGAAGAAGGGAGCCCAATAGCAGAGAAGGGCCTGACCCCAACCCCCAGAAGAAGAACGCACTCCAAACACAAGCTTCAGATAACTTCTTTGGGAACAAAATAAAACCAGATTTCCTCCAGACACATTTGCGTAAGACACAAATGTTAAAATTATGCCTTTGAGTAAGAGAACCTGGTGACCTCACAGCCCAAAATCTCAACACAAGAACAGAAACTCAATCCATCACAGCCTCATCCCCTTCGGCTCTAGCTCCAGAATAAGCCAGCTGAGCACTCTGGAGGAAGTGTGCTGGGCAGCTAAGCAAGAGGTGCTGGAACCTGTGAGGCCAGTTCCACATCACAGGGCCAGGCACCATATGACAGAACGCAGGTGGGCAGGAGGTGATGATGAGAGCTCTATCTGCTTGGTGACTGGGACACGTTCAGCCACCAGCATGCAGTGAAGGACTCTAGGTGCACACCTCCCTCTCCCAGGGCAGGCTCTGTGAAGGCTCCAGGTGGCCTCACTTAGGTGCTGGCCTTGTTCTCAGCCCCACAAACTGTCCTGATCATGGACAGCTGGGACCTGACTATTCCAGAGGCTCTAAGCCACACAGGGCCTGTGATCTGGCAAAATGGCTCAATTATGTTCCAGCCTCCATTTTGGCATTGTGACAATGCTTCCCATCAGGGTTACTGGTCTCATCCCCTAAAGTTCTTCATCTCTGTCCTGCTAACCATATGCAGAGCCTTTTGTAGGCTGGGCCCTTCCCTCTGCCCATGCTGCAGCATCTCCTACCAACACACCCCTGCCTGCCACCTCCTACCAAGCTATCCCCATCCTCTTGTCACTGAGAAAGGGAGTTGCAAGTGGTCCATCCCTAGGGGACTGGTGCCTCAGAACAGCCCTACGGGCAGCGTCGCCTCACCAGCTTACCGGCTGCGCTGCTGGTCGGTCTCCGCTCGGCTGGCCTGAAACAAACACACCACCACTTACTATTTTTCCTCCTTTACTCCGCTGTTGCGGGGGCACATAAGCCCTCCCTCCTGTCAAGCCCAGGACACCCAGCCGACCTGGGCATCGCGGGTCTGGCTGGCCTCCAGCAAGGCCTCAATGGACCGGATCCTCTCAGCAAGCTGTGTGTTCTCAGCCTTGGCATCCTTCAGTTGTCCCTGGAGGCCATCCAGTTCCTCACACTTACTCTTCACCACCGCTTCTGAGGACTTGAGTTTGCTGTGCAGCTCTACCATAGGAGGAGGGACAAGAGATGATGTACCCGAAGCCTGCCTGTGGGCAAGAGGTCTTAGACACATCTGACTGTGCAGATGGCCCAGCCCCACTAGATTAGAATGAAACACGACTAGTCCTCATGGAACAGATGAAAGTTAAACATGTGCTCACAGCAGAGGGCAGAGTGACAAGACAAGAGGTGCCTTCCTGGCTGCTTCCCCTTTAGCCCTGCAGGGCCAGAGCCTCTTTCTTCTGGGGCCTGCAGACAGTCTACAGGGCTAAACATTACCCACATGTTCATGGCACTGTGGCCTCTTCACCACAACTGGCTAGTCCTCATCATTCCTTCAGCCTGAAGAAGGGCCTCCTCTCTAGTGTCCCAGCCAGACCTGCCCCTACAGTCTACTCTCTACTGGAACCTGTATCCAAAATGCCAACGAGATGGCCGTATCCACGGCCCTAAGCGCCTTATGGTTACTTCCTGTTAATCTCACATCATGCCCAGGCCTGACTGCCTGGCCCACCTCCTCCCACTGCCCTTAAGTCTCTGTAGGGCAGGCTCTGCCTGTCACTCATACCTCAGCATGGACACCAGACTGAAGACCACCTGGCTTCCTGAATTGAGGCCAGGCCAAAGGCCCACAGGCACTTTCCAGAGCACGACCAGGCCAATGGGCTCCCCGTCTGCCCCAGCGGTGGCCACTTCTGCACACAGCAGCAGATGCTGTGTATCATGGTCCACAAAGCACACACACTGAGTCTGCACAGAAATTGAGGTCTACCTCTGCTCTCTTGGTCACGTTACACTTTGGTCAAAATGGGCGCAGCACTGTGTGACACTGTGGTAGCTGGATGTCTGGTGTCCATGGCTGCCCTTGTACATGATACAAACAAAGGGCATGCTGGCCATGGAGTGTCGTCTGCACCACAGTCGCTTCTTTAGGAGCCTGAGGGTCCTGTCTAGGTCCCTTCACATTAAGCAACAGCCTGTGCACCCTGAGGTCATCGCCCCACAGCCTTCTAAACCAGGCCAGACTCGAGGAGACGGAGAAAATGAGCCAGGAAGGCCTCAAACAGGAAGTCCCAGCAGGCTGAGTCCCCCTCAGGAGCAGTGAGGGTAGGGTACCCCACAAGCCTAGGACTCAGGGGATCCTGAGCTACAGGGTTCAGAGCCCTGCTAGGTGTCTGAGAGCTTTAGAAGCAGCAGTTACCCCACCCCACAGTGTCAGGGCTGGTATGTGGGCCTGGAATAACTCTCACCGGCCATCTGCTGCTGCTGTTCCTGGGCTCTGTCGGCATCTGCCTGCAGGCTGGCGTGGCTGGTCTGTGAGCGGCATAGCTCCCGGCTGACCTCCTCCAGGCGCTTCTGCAGGGCTTCCTCGCTGTCTTTGTGTGATGCCTAGTCAGGGGTGGGGAGGAGTGTGAGTGCAGGGCTGCTAAGCAAATGCTCTGCATGGCCACTGTGTGCCCATGAATGTTCTCGTTCAATACTGGTGGACAGTTGAGCCCTACCCCAGCCTAACAGATGAAGGGAATACACTGTCCTTGTCCCTCTCTGGCCTGGCCATGGAGACCTTACTCTGTAGGCTGACAGGCCCCTGCAAATACACACACAGCCATGATGACATCATTCCACACAGCTCACTGACTCATGTCTCTTCCCGTGCATTGCGCTGGGGTCCTTCCGTGGCAGGCTGACGAGCTCAGCTGGGCCCCCAGCCCAAGTGGTTCTGCTTATGCACATGTACACATGACAAAATCATTGCACAAGGAGGGCTCACCCTACTTAACATCACGTTGAGCCTCATGAATTTGCCATTTGTCGGTCATTTTTTCCTATAAAAACAGCAATTTTGGACAGTTTGACCTACTGCTCTGTAGCTGTTTTCACTAGCAGGACACCTCCCCACACAGCCGTGGGGGCTACACTTAAGATGTGTGGGGTCTCTACCATGGCTCTGGGAGTGTTCACACTAGGTTTCCAGAGCTCAGCACAGCCAGCCCCATGCACAACCCTATCCTCACTGCTTATGCAGAAACCTGTCTGGGGCAAGGCTGTAATGAAGGGTCAGACCCACAGAGAAGGGACTTCTGTTAACTGAGGGCAGCCCTTGAGACTGGCCTGCCCTTTGACGTACTCATGTTACTCACACTTGTGTTTTCATTCTCTTTGGGGTGACTGCATCTAAAGCACAAAGTCAGAGGCTTCTGCCAGCCCCCGGTGGGCACGCAACCTTACACCTGTCAGATGGCCACTGGGGTCAATGTTAAGCCTAGGATGTCAGTGGTATGAGGACAACGATGCCTTCCCTGGGCCATAGAGTAAGCACGCTGCACAGTGGAAAATTCTGGATGGCTCGAGGTGAGCAATGCAGTGGTAACGTGGGGAGTTATTTCCCTCCCATCTCCTTGTCTTCATCTTTTCTCATTGTTCAGGAGCTCTGTCAGCCTACAGGGACCGTTCATCTGTACCCAACTGTCCATCCACTGCTGACATTCATGAGAATTCTTTCTAGTCAGAGTCAACAAAAGGCAAATGCGCTCCCATCTTCAGATCCAGAAACTCAGAAGAAACCTTTCCTGCAGAATGTGTGTGCGGATCTCAGGACAAGCAGTGAAGATGTCCATCTAGGAGGAGGCATACTATGCACAAGCCAGCCACACTGTACAGAAGCCCAGAGCCAGTGTATGCCATGCTGGACAGCTGGCCTTCACAAAACCCGTCCTGATTTCTCAGGCTCACCTCAGCCACTGGAAACAACAGACAGGACAGATGTCTCCACACTTTCTTCTAAAGCGGGCCTTGTAGATCCAGGGAGAGCCTAGGCCAGGACTGGTCTCCCTCTCCCCATGCCCACCTCAGGGGCCCCAAGACCATCATGAGAGGGGCCCACCCATACATGCTCTGGCCTCTAAGAATGAGCTCATATCAAAGGAGCTCAGATTGAGGAAGGCCACTACAGACAAAGACCTGGTCCTCACATCAAATGTGGTGTAGGAAGATGCTTCCTAAAACCTGGGTTCCCAATCCAACCAGCCTGCTTCCCAAATCAATCCTCAGAGTGTACTCTACTGAGCTCTGCCCTAACTGTGCACCAGTGTAGCTGACGCTCATGGCGAACCACCAAGGCAGGACTGTGTCCCCAACAACTTTACAGAAGGCTAAGGTAAAGCTTGTCCACCTCACCTCACCACAGTGCTATTTGGGGTGCTAAGGTGTACCCCCAGTCCCCTTCATCTCACAGCCAACCACTCTCAAAACAGACAGAATAGAGGGACACCTCTGTCCAGTCCCCAGCTGTGGATGCCTGAAGGTCCTGTGACCTGGAGAATCAGGAGCAGCTATTCCTTAACCCAAGCAGTTTATATAATGTGAGGCCAGCAGCTGGGGGCACAGAGCAAGGGGTTCAGCTAAGAACCCCAACAGCCAGGGTTTTAACTACAGCTAGCAAGGGCACTCTAGTGCACTCCCCATCACAATGCTACTTCATCAGTTCCCGTTGCATTTCCAGGACTCCTTTCGGTTCTCTTACATGCCCAAACATCAAATTACTATTCTGTGCTTGTCTCTCATCCCTACCACAGGGGAGCCCCAATGCCCCTGCATCTCATCCATACTGCCCTAGCCTGGCCTTAAGACCAAGCAGGAAAAATCTTTTGCGTAGCCAGGGTCTCTTGTCACCTAGGAAAGTTAACCCCTGAGCAGGTGTGACAGTCCCATACCCAGTGACTGAGTCAGCAGGAAGCACGGAATGCTGAGGCTGGCGGAGACAGTACACCTGGTAGCAAGCAGCACCCTGGAGACTGGAGGGAGGGGGACAGCACTCCCCACAGAGGCCTCTCCGTAGGACAGAGGACACCCAAAAGGATGATGCCTGCCCCAGCTGAAGCAGAAGAGGGACCAGCAGGCTGGTGGGGCAGGCCTCCTCGCTGACTCAGGAAAGTACACCAATTCTGTCTCTGGTGCATTTCGCTGTGTAAACTGGGCTAGCAGTCTAACTTCTCTGTACTTCAAATTGCCTTATGGGTAAAATGTAGTAACATCTATGTCACAAAGTAACAGTGAGAAGCTAAAGCTCATGTAGCATCTACACAAGCTTAGGTGACGCTCAGCACAGAGAAAAGCCTCACTCCATTCTGGGGACCACTGGCATCAAGGAAGCTATGGTGTGAGCCCAAGCTGACTTACCCCTCAATGTCAGTCCCAGCTGAGCGGGTAGCATGGGGCCCCAGGAAGGCTGCCCACTGACTCACCTGCAGCTGCACAACCTGCTTCTCAAAGGCAGCAGCCTTAGCCTCCAGTGCCCTTCGCTGCTGCTCTTCCTGCCGTGCAGCTTCAGACTTCTCCCCCAGCTCCTTGCTGACCTTGCTGAGCTCCTGCCGGAGTTTGGCCAGCTCTGCATTCTGTCTGTAAAACAGGTGTGTCAGAACTCAATGATGTGTAGAAGCAGACTGCTACATGCCAGCCCAGAGGACTGTCTCATTACTGGGTTTCTGTTCTGAAACCCTTCCCCCCTGGATCGATTTCCACAAACTACTGCCTGTGTTGCTGAGCCATTCCCCAAACCACCGACACCTGGTGGGGCTCAACATGACCACCTCTCAAGCAGAACCCACTGGACAAAGCAGCATGGTGCTCTCAACAGCCACACCTCCCAGGATTGTCAGGTCTTAACATGGACACAGTTTGGACAGAGGCCTGGAAGTGTGGCCCACCTGGTAGAACATGACCTGCAGACAAACGGTCCAGAGCCTACGTGCCCCCTTGTCTGGCACCAAAGCAGGTCCCTGGACACTATCCCATTCCCAGTGTGAGGACTTTCAGTGGTGCTTCCAAAGCTGGTCTGAGAGCCCAAAGTAAAGTCTAGACAAGAAGATTCAACTAAGGGTCGGTAAGGACTGCTAAGGACTGGTTTCCAAGTCTCTTCAGCAACGAAGGAAACAAAGCAGAAAAGGAAGACACCTTCCTAAGGCTGTGGACCACCATCTGGTGAGGGTACCAGCAAGGCAGGTAGGCCCAGTGAAGGGCTGCCCACACCGGGGGCGCCTGGGCTCTAGCCACCATGCAGTGTGGAGGATGTGTGTGGACACTGTATCTGCCTTTACACTGTCAGGATCCAGTAGCAAGAGCGGCAGTGGGGTGGAGACTGCTCCTTGGTTCTATGAGGCTCTGACACCTGGAAGGGCCTGGAAAGATGTCCTGCTGCTGTGGACAGCTGTACAATGATCGAAGGCCAGGAACTGCTGCCACAGGGTTCCAGCTCCCAACGGTGTGAGGGAAGCCAGAGCAGCCCACAGAGGTCGAGGAATTGCAGCCTCAGACGTCCAGCTAGATGACAGAAGGGAGAGGATGATGCATGCATCCCAGCAAGGTGAGACCAAGGATGGTGACTCAGGATGGAATTGGTGCCTACAGGGAGCCCTCAGATGCTAGGCAGAGCAGGACTGTGGTATTCCTCCCGAGGGATTGCTCAGAGTCCACCAAACAACAGTCTGCTGGTGGTCTCTGCTTCCCTTCCATCACCACCTCCTAGAGCCCCAGATGCTCAGGACAGGCACCTAGGTCAAGACAAGTCAGCATTGGGGCCACAAGGAACACCACCGCTGCTGCTGCTGCAGGGCACGCATGTGGGGACTATGACCCTCTGAGAGGGCAGAAAACATGAGTGTCAGCCTCAGGCCCCTATGAGATTTCCTCACAAACTGTGCACCCGGACATCACGAGTTCCCTGCTGAGCAGCAGGTGGGTACCCCAAGATCATGCAGATGCCACCACCAGGCATCACGGCAATGGGAAGCCAGGCATCAGTCTGCAGCAGGTCTACACTCTGCCACCATGCTCTCAGACGACAACCTGGTTTGGTCTCAGCACTCAGATCTCCCATCAGGGATGTGCTGCAGACACAGAGGAAGCATCCATGCTGCAGGAAGGCTAGCCACAGCACGAGGACACCAGCCACACCACACACCAGCATGACTCTGCACTAAAGCTCAGCTTCTTGCCCTGCTGCTGCTGTTGGGGCACAGGCCCCAAGTCAGAGCCCAGGATACAGGGTTGGGGTTGGAGCCTGAAGTTGCCACACCAGCCTGGAAACCCATAAGAAAAACAAGGTGCACCCGGCCAGCCCTGCAGGAGGCCCGATTCTGGAATCCTCCTTCCTGTGTAGCAGCAGCTTGAGGCTTACTTGCTCTCCACCTGACTGGTGGCCTGGTTTAAAGCATCCCTCAGGATGGAGTTCTCTTGCTGCAGACGAGCCAGCTGGGTGTTGGGGCCGTTCTCCAGCTGTTCCTGAAGAGTCCGAACCTGAACAATCAAGAGCAACAGCATCAGAGGGAAGAAGGAGAGACGCCTGCCTTATAGGGGCCACTCCTAGCCTGAGGTGTACACAAGGCAGGCTGGCCTGCTCCTCCCAAGGCTGGGAGAGCCCCTCACTACAAGAGACTCCACAGCACAAAGCTCCAGTGTCCAGGGCTTGAGGCTAAAGTGCGGCCCTTGCACTGGACCTTCTAGCCTGGCCTGCCGACGTGGTAAGTACATGTCCAGCGCCTCAAGCTACCTCTGCCTCTGGGGCAGCCACTGCCCTGCAACCAACTACACAGCTGTAACCCACAGCCTACAGCCAATTAAGACAGAACTGTCCCAGCCCAAGAAGAGTGTGGAGCACAGAGCCAAGCATGAAGACCTAGCAGAGGGCCATGCAAGAGACAGCGATCTAGTGTTGGCTGGAAGGTCCAGAGGATAGAGCCCTGTAGCGCTCAGGCCTCTTATTCCATGGACTCTCCCAATCCAGATAGTCCTACTCCAGATTTCCCAGGAAGTCCTGCCCACAGGGGTCACCCTTGTGATGGGGCCTACCCACTCCTGGTTACCAGCCACATGCTGGGTGGAACATGCTGCGCACATGGATGCCTCCTGGGCCTGCCCCAGACTCACCTTGCCCTGCAGCTGCTGCACTTCCTTGACGTGCTCGCGGTAGCTGGCCTGCATGCGTGCCTGTACCGCTGCGATCTCCTGGTCCCTGGCCACCAGCTGCTTCTTCACTTTGGCCTCCCCAGCTGCAGCTTTGGCCTTCTCTGCAGCCAGCTCCTGGGATGAGAAATAAGACTGGATGGTGAAGACAAGGGCACAGCCATGGGGGCCAAGCAGGGGTGGGAGCCATGGTGAGGGGCATGGACAGGACTGAGACCATCACTGGTAATGTCTGTAGAAGGAGCCCATGAAGTGTGAAGAGAGTCACAAGCTCCCACGTGCAGAGTTCCCAGAAGGATCGGATTCTATGCAGCATAGCAGAATTGGGAGGCTAGAAGAGGTCTCTGTGGAACCTGATGGCTGCATGAAGCTGCAGGCTGATTATTCACAGCCACCAGGCACCAAGCAGCTGCTAGGAAAGCATGCCAGGTACCTGCAGGCCACTCTGACTTGGGCCTTCTGTCATGACTGTGCAGCAAGCACTGATGCCAGCAGGCTGAGAGAGTGGACATCAGCCTATCTCTGAGGGCCTGGTTCTCGGCACTGTCCAGTCCAGACCTGGGGATGACCAGTAGGATGCATCCCAGAGCCCAGTCCTGGGGACAAGTGCCTCACAAGAACAGGATGAGGAAGAGAGGAAGAGACTGTGTCACAACCAAAGGCAGTGCCAGAAGCTACCAGAATGGCAGGTGACAAAACAAGCAAGAGTCTTCAGGGTCCTAGATGCCCTCAGCCCTTAGGCAGGGGAAGGTGCCTACCTGCCCCTCCAGTCAGAATGGTAATGGTTTAGCAGGAACACTGTAGGCTTGGATTGGAGGGGTGACATGGCACAAGCATCCCTTAAGATTTGAGATCCTGACTTCACCCTCAGTGGTGAACTAGAAGTGCCCTCTATCCCTCCCCAGGCAGAGGCCCGGGCTAAGGGACAGAGTGTCCTCTTGCCATAGACAAAAGGAGAGTAGAGATCATGGGAGGTGAGCCTGTGCAGGGCATGGTGGTCACCAGGTGCCACTGTGGCTCCAAGTATCCAGGAGGCCCTAGAACCCAGGGCCCAAATGGCCCTGATTTTCAAAGACCATCACCATTTTAGCCCAGTCATAGAGACTAACCATGAGCATGCAGGTCCATCTAAGGCCTGGGCGTTGCCTGGGGCTCTGTGCGCGTGGGTCTGTTCCTTCACGCTTGGGAGTGTGGGGCTAGTCCCCACGTGACCGGAGTGATGGTTGTCTGTCAGTTTTGCTGGTGGTATGTGTGTGGGTGGACCCTTCCTTTGGGTGTGTGTGTATGGAAGTAGTTGTACTGTTGGCTGTGTCTTTACTGTTTTCGCCGCGGAGGGCGAGGAAGGGGCTGCCGAGGCTTGTCATGTTTGTGGCTTTGTGTGTCTTTGGACATAGCTGAGCGCGGGGCAGGGACAGTTTGTTGGATGTGTTGGCGTTCGGGGCCTGAGTCATTTTCCTGGGTTTTGCTCTTTGGTTGGTTTCGCCTGTGGTGGCCTACCTCAGTTGTGGTTTCTAGTTCTGGAGGGTGGCATGTGGACTCGGATGTTGGGGTGTCTACGTCGAGTGGGCTGGCTGCTGTCTGTCTGTGGGGTTCCTCTCTTCTTCTTTGGGTTTGCTGTTTGGGTCAGTTTCGTTGTGTGTTTCTGTCTTTTTGTGTGGGGTTCCCTCGGCTTTGTGGGCGCGCCTGTCTCTTGGGTCCTGGTCTTCCGTCCTCTGGTTTCTGTGAGCTGTGCTTTTCTTTTTCTGTGCTCTGTGGTGGGAGAGAGTTGGGTCGCCTGCTTTGCGTTCTTTTTGTCTTTTTTTTGTGCTTCTTGTTTTCTCATTTTCCTTCTTTTGGTTCGGTTTGCTTTATTTTCTTCCACTGTGTGCCTTTGGCGGGGTTGTCTGTGCTGGTTTGTGTTGTCTGCTCTGAGCTGGCTGGCTGAGTGTTTTGTGTTTTTTCCTGGTTTCACCTTGCTACTGTTTCGGTGGGATGGTGAGTGGTGGTTTGGTGGCTTTCTGTCCCAGGCCTTAGCTGGACCTGCATGCTCATGGTTAGTCTCTATGACTGGGCTAAAATGGTGATGGTCTTTGAAAATCAGGGCCATTTGGGCCCTGGGTTCTAGGGCCTCCTGGATACTTGGAGCCACAGTGGCACTTGGTAATCATCCTGCTCAGCACAGGCCCATGGCAAGCTCACTGCTGGGCTCAGGGCAGGAGGTTGGACACGAAGTACCTCCACTCCCCAAGGGCAAAACCTCTGACAGGGTGCCTTGTTGAGAGGCTGACCACCTCCAGGGTTTTGGGGCCAGTGGTCCCTGGAGAGAACAGGCTGAGGTCTATCTAGTCAAGACAGCAATGGAAGCTGACAGAGCATGTTCTAGAAGAGATGTGCCTTTGTCAGAAGCATGAGAGATCCTCATGGACCAGGATGATGCTCTGAGGTGTCCTAGCCCATGGGTCTCTGTGAAGCTGACCCATTCTACCATAATGGTGGGGGCGTGGGGTATCACATCTTCAACCACACACTCCAAAAAAAACAAATTAAGCAGGTCTTTGTCAACTAAAACTTCCCTTACAGGGACAAAGACAACACAGGAGGAACCAGAAGATAAAACACAGACTATCTAATCTTGCCAGCTTGTGAGGGTTGTTGGTAACTTAGTGTCAGTTAACCTACTTTTTTCCCTGTAGTTTTCTTCAAAAGTGCTGGGATCAGAGACACAATGCAATAAGCAAACCCATCAATTCTCCATACAACTCTTCAGGGGGCTCCTGGGACCCAAGTGTCCACACATCCCAGCCACTGCACCATTTCTAAGAGGGGTACAGGAGGCCAAGGCATGGATCCTCGGACTGAGAGCAGCCTCAGCTCTCAGGACCACTTGCTCTCAAGGGGTTTTCAGTGTCTAATGATGATTACTGGCTTCACCCTCTCCAGGACAAACTTAGGGACTGGTCCTTGGAGAGGGACATCATGTTTGGGAGAGTGGAGGGACGGTGCAGGAGAGGAAGACCCTCGATGAGACGGATCGATTCTGTGAGTGGAGTGGTGGGAATGAGTATGCTTGAGACGGCGAGGTTGGCACAAGATAGAACGGCACATTTGTACATGGGGTCACTATGAGTAGCAAGCGACTTGATGGCACATAACAACAACAAAACACCAAAGATGCTTACTAGGGACAAAGACCTAAGTGTAAGGAAGGAAAAGTGGGGTGCTGAAAGGCTCTGAACAAGTGCTATGGAAGTGAATGTTCAAGCATAAGAGTGGCCCCGCAGTATGAGAAAGGGTCCAGCACGCTTGGGTGCAGATGGGTTGGAGGAGTTGAGGTTCATTAGAATGGTTTTTGTTCTGTACCACAGAGCTAGAACTGAGAAGCAAACAACTTACAAGGTGCAGACCACTGAAGAGGGCAGGAAAGTGGAGCTCATGATGCAGACCTGGGTCTGAAGGTCAAGAGTTATCAGCAGAGCTTCAAGAAGACCCTTCTTGGGCCAGATCTCCACATGGAGTCAGACAGTTAAGGTGGATGAGGGCAGGAAGGCTGAGCCTAGCAGGACAGGCCAGCAAACGACTTGTCATCTCAGAGCCAGGAGCTACTGGGCAGAAAGAACAGCAGGTTCTGCTGTTTTGAGCTGGGTGGGGGCTAGGAATGAACTTAGATCTGAGGTGGGTGGCTGAGGCCATCCTGCCATGTGGCCTCCAATGGCCAACACGTGGGTGGATAGGTTGCTTATGCCCTTCCCAAGGTGGATGAAGACCCAATAATAAGAAACAGGACACTATCACCACCAGAGGCTGGCCCATCCCTCCTCCACCACACTTCACAAATGCATCCTAAATTGGAGTCAGGCACAGGCAGTGACCAGGAAACTACACAGGCAAGGAGCTGTGTACTCCCTCAACTTCACAAGAGTGAGTTAGGTATTTACTGCAGGGTCATTCCACAGACACCAGAAAATAGGACAGCAGCTCCTCCACCACTTCGAAGTATCTACTTCAATTTTTTTAGGGTCAGCTAGGTGCCTTCCTTTAGCTCTTCATTAGTGAAGGCCAGAGTGAGCTCATCCTGACACTAAGCCAAGGTCCCCAAGCCTCTATGGATGCCTGTGCATGCTTATAAGCACCAGGAAGGCACCCACCACCCCTCAGAGCCACACAGCACTGACGAAGGTGGTCCCCACTTCAAACGCTGGTGATCATGGCTTCATCAACCCAAACACATGATCTGACTGTATCAAGTCTGCCCCACAGGCTCTTAGAGGATGGGGTGGGTTGGGGGTGTGCACCAGCTGTACCTTGTTAAGCTCCCGCAGCTTGCTCTTGGCCATGGCTGCATCTTCCTGCTCAGTGGCCAGTAGCTTCTCCTTTTCCTCCAGCTGGCGCTTTAGAACTGTCACTGGGTCACCCTTCTGAGTGGCCTAGAAATGCCACAAACCATGTTAGCAGAGATGGGAGAGGATCTCGGTAGTCCTGATTCAAAAGGTGGCAGAGACTGGAAGAGGTCAGCACAGGAGTGTCCAGAAGGGCATGCAGGCCTGTCCAGCAGGTCCACCAAATACCACTAATCCCCTCCCAGCCACAAAGAGGGAAGCACCATGCAGGTGCAGAACAAAATGGACTCTGAGGCACTTTCCAGAAGCATGCTACTTCCCACCAGATCATGTAGGTTAGCGATTTGACACATCCCCAGTTATCTCTCAGAGGAGATGGTTTGATGCTGACTTAGCAAGAAGCTTAGGTCAGTGTTCTCAGGACATTACAAGCACATTAACATGAAAAAACCCCCTCACTGCTGTCAAGTTGAAACTGACTCACAGCTGACTCTCCAGTAGGTTTTTAGAGGCTGCCAATCGCACAGGATGAGATTGTCTATCTTTCTCCTGTGGAGCAGCTAGTGGATTCAAACTGCTTGCCTTTGGAGTATCAGTGCAACTCTTTACCCACTAGGCCACCAGAGTTCCCTCATCACCACTAAAGGTTGTCCTAAAACTCTCCAGCAAAATGAGTTTAAATTCTAGCTCTAACTAGGAAATATGTGCCGTGTCGTATTGTCTAGGGCACAGGTCACCAGCAGAGGGACAATGGAGAGGGACCCTGGGCTTATACCGAGTTCCCTGTACAGTCCAGCCCTCTGGCCCAAGCCAACTTCTCTCTCATGTCACCTTCAGGGTCCTCTCGAAGAGTACATGCATCTCTCCATCAGGCACTAATGACCTCTGGCTGACTCAGAAAGAAGGGGCATACTACCGCTTGCTAGAGTAGCTGCCTCAGCAGGAAAGGAGCCCACCTTGTGCCAGACATCCTGGGTGATCCCCGACTTCTCTGAGAGGACCTCGATGAGCTGCTGGGCCTCGCCCTCACTGAACACCATGCTTCCAACCGTGGAGACCAGAGTCTTATAGGGCAAGTAGAGAGGACTGTCGGCAGCCAGGCCCGCTGTGCAGGAGAGGAGGAGAAATTTAGACGGGCACCCCTAGAGCTGAAGACACAGAGTAAACCCGCCAGAACCAGGGAGAGAGAAGGTCCCTCCAGAGCCAAGGCTGCCCCATTTTCTCAAGGGCTATGTGCAATGTGCATGCCTAAGCACCTCAAACTCTTTCAGAATCCTGAGAAACTGACCAAAACAAAATCCCCTTAATATCCTGCCCAAACTGCCCCAAGATGGTTAGGGTAAAAGTCCAAGAAGTAAAGAAAGGCTATGTTTTTCTGGCTGAGGTAGCACCATTCTTTATCATCAACATTCTCCTAAGCAGAGTTACACAGATTTTTTCCCTCTTCATTTTTCCCCAGCAAACCCTTGGCCCAAGTCTTGTTCTGCACAGTCCAAGTGTCTCCAAGGGCCAGTTAGCCAGCCCCTAGTGTCCCAACCAGTAGGCCCATCACTCACAATTGCAAACCTTCTCAGACACGAATTGGCAGTCATGAGAGAATGAGAGGAAAAGGGCTCCCCTTTTCTGGAACACCTTACAATGTTCCCAGTGGTCCCACTACTATTGCAAATACCACTTCAACTCCCTGATGACACAGAAGCAAGGCCAGGCTCCAGGAGCAGGCCAACCTGGCTGGGCTCTGCCAAAACATTCCTGCGCCCACTGCTGGTCACTAGAATCAAAAGCTGTCACTGTTAGACCCTCACCCAATCCAAACACAACAGTGGGTGTGCCTTACCCAGCAGAGGCTGTGTGCATCAGCCAGCAGTTCCCCCTGCTGTGCCCAGCCCCAAATGACAGACAACACAGGCTGCAGGGCCTCCACAGCCATTCCCTCAAACGAGAACAGGAAAGATTCTAGGGCAACTCTAAACTCTGTGCTTTGTCACAATAATTCTACTTATTACATCATATTTTCACAAGTTAAAGCAGACTAAGCATAAGGAGAGTGGCACATAGGCATGCTTTTTGCTAGAACACCTTCATTTTCTAACTCAACTTGGTAATACTGGAGAAGATAAAACCACACTGACACTCTCAGGTAAAACCACGACGGGTGCCCTCTTCAGTGAATTTTCTTTTCTATGAAATATGTGTAACTATACCTCTAAATGAAATAAAACTCATGGCCTTCATGTCACTTCTGACCCAGTGGCCCTGTAAGGACAGAGCAGAAGTGCCCAAGGCTTCCCTGCAGCCACTCACCATGACTGTGTCCCACAGAGCATATAGCATGCTCCAACTATAGACTGTACCACCAGGACATCTTACATATTTGTTACTTCATATTTATAGAAATAATGATCATTACTTCTGTTAGGCAGCTCTAACTCATGGCGGCTCTGTGAACGACAAAGGGCTGCTCTTTCCTGGCCGCCTCCATGTTGGTCGGGCCATCCCATAATATGAACACATGGCAAGCCTGCCCAGAACACTCCCACTGCCGTGGGCCAACTGACTCACAGCCAGATAAAGGGCAGTGTCTAACCTTCCCACTGGGCTTCCAATGTGGCCAATCTGAATAAATGCAAACTGCCACATTGCTCTTCCACAGAGGGGCTGCTGAGTTTGAACCATCCACCTTTCATTTAACAAGAGAGCACTTAACTGTGCTTCCTATCTCCGCACTGTGCACTACACATGACACAAGGGATTCCATAGTCGCTCATAAACAGTCCAGAGAATTCCGAGTACAGCCAAAGTAAAAGTGCACACCAGCCCCATGAGAACAGAGTCTGGAGAAAGCCTACCAACCTGAGGGGCTCGGCACAAACAGCCCTGGAGCTAGAACCCAGACAAACTCTGCTCCTCCTTCCCTGACTCAAGACTCCACTGCCCAGTGCTAGCCACAAGGCACAGGGACTACAAGATGCAGAATGAGGACAGTGTGGATGGCGGTGTGCTCAGGGAAATATTTTAACTTTCAAAGATCTATGATAGAGAAAAAGAAAATCTCATTATTCTTTACAAGGATGCGTGCCAAAATATTTTGGGTACACTGAACTTAATGAGCATACTATAATAAATTAATTCCATTTTTTTTTTAAACTTTAAAAAACATTTCTAGACAATTAAGTTCCATACACTTGACTTCTGTTAAATTTCTACTCATGTTTGTCCTTTGCAGACCAGACGTGGGTAAACTGCTCCAGTTCTCTGGGAGCCTATCCCTGGAGACTGCCAAGCCCAGGTGTGAGGCACTGCCAGGAGGTAGACACAGAGCACAGCCAAGACGGTCCCTTCAAGTCTTTTTTTCCTGGAGGCAAGGGGGAGCCAGATCTCAGATGTTGGTTCTGACCCTTCAGTGTCCACCCTTCTGTGACAGTGTTGCTCCAGTGAGGCCAGAATAAAACTTTCTAATGTAACTACATTAAATGTATATGCAGTCTTTATTTTTTTTTTTTGCAGTCTTCATTTTTAAAGTAAGGAATCATGAGAAGGAATCCTCAGCTATGTACCCTATGTTCTAAACTCCTCAGTAATGTCCACGTTCCTGTAGGGCTCAGATACACTTTGTAAGTTATATTTTAAAAGCTCAAACTTGGCAAAACACTTCTTATTGAACTTTTCAAGAACTGTGCCATCTCTACTTTGCCCACTCAGGAGCACTACAACAGAAAGGAAGTGGGGATGAGAAGCCTGGGGCTCCAAGTCACACTGACTTCCAGGTAGGGATCTTCCTTGCAGCCTTGTCTGAGGTCGGCTTGGGGTGGAGTCAGTCTGACCAGAGCAGTCCCTCACCAAGGGCCCACCATCCACTACACACCCCAGGTCCAGGGACTCTCGCTAGCAGAAAATTCTACGATGCTAAAATAGATTTGTCAAAGACAGGACTTTTCATCTGTTAAACCACAGACCTCAGGAAAACCAGAGTGTAGAGGATTCTAAGGTGAAGCCAGCTGATGAAGTGCATCCTCCTGCTGTCAATGCTGTGTTGGTGTTGCACTCCTGGGTCTGAGAGCACAGAACAGGGAGTGAGTGAAGGGGCTGGAGAGCATAGAGAGGCGAGGACCAGGGCTGGCCATGCACCCATCCAGTTCTTATATACACGTGCCCAGGAAAACACCCACGCTGCTGGGACCAAGGACTGGCCAGCCCTGTGCCTAGGGCAGCCTGTGATGACCTGGTGGCTTTGGTATGTCATGTCACTTTAAGGTGCTGGCTCCATGTGTTACTGGAGCACCAAATGATCAAACCCCTGGGAAATGGAGGTTTTTTTGTGTGTGTAGGCTCTTGACTTTTAATGCTAACAGTGTGTTCCATAAAAAATAGACAAAGGAGACTTAAACATAGTTGGCTGGGTCTGATCAGCATGTCAGTAGTCAAAGGAAGGCCCCTGCAGCCAGGTGGCTTTGGCAGCAATTCCAGTTCTACCCTCCTGCCTGTGTGTCCTAAGCCCCTCTTTGCCTCATCTGTGAAATTCCTTCAAAATGAATCAGTGCAACTTCCAAGGCCCCCAGTCACAGACCGTGCACTCTGAGCCTTCCCTGCATTCCCAGAGCCCTGAAGTGGAGGCTGGTGGGATAGCTGATGCAATACTGCCGACAAACAAGCATAGAACTGGAGTCAGATCCTCTCAGCCTTGCACATCAGAGGACTTGTTGGGGGATGCAGCTCTGGATACTTAAGGGACCTGTTCTCCAAGGTCTCCAAGAAGCAGATGGCGGCACAGATGATGTAAGGATGCCTTGAACTTAGACCCACACTCCATCTTGCAATTATACCAAGACAGTCTCCTAAAATAAATGATGCAAAGAAGCATTCAAGAATAAACTTTCTAATAACATGGATTCCTGTGGGAAGTATTTTTCTCTCTACTTGTAAAAATTACCAGGGCTCCCAGTGGTCAAGTAAGGAAGCTCAAAGAACAACTGTCAACTATCTATCCCTCCAGTGCCCAGGTACTGAGTTCCTGCAACACTGGGGCCCAGCTTCTGTTATCACTGTGGAGTCTGAGGGCCCCAGGCTATTCCAAGAATGGCCCTGCAAGGCAACAACTGGTAGCTAATTAGAGAGGGCTTATTACCTCCCATCAATACTGGGCCTGGAAAGGTATGCTTGAGGTAGAACCTGCCAGGTAGGAGAAATGAACACTTTCAAACACCAGGGAAACAAGGAGGGACACATGCTTTTACTGTGGCTTGAGCCAGAACTGCAGGGCGAGGACAGGAGGGCTGAGGAGGGGAGTGAAGGGTTCTGGAAAGAGAATAGGAGACAAGACAGGTGAGGCTACAGGTCAGAGCTTTCAGAGGCCTGGGAGCACAGCTTTCCATTGTGGAAGCTTTACCTCAGGTTGTGCTATAAGACAAGGCTGGAGACCAGCCAGCGAGGGCAGCTGAGGCTACAGGCAAAGTATCAAGAGAGCTGGACTCTGATGGTCAAAGTGGAACATGGTCACAACCTTAGGGATCTGGCAGGGAAACTAAACAGCTAAAGACCTCAATTTCTATCAAAACAACTATGAGATATCATCTCACTCCTGTAAGAATAGCAAAATTTAACAGGGCAGTAAACATCAAATGCTGGTGAGGTTGAAGAGAAACTGGAACCCTTATTCACTGTTGGTGGAAGTGTAAAATGGTGCAACCACTATGGAAGGCTGCTGTATGGTGCTTTCTCAAAAAATTGCAACTAGAAATACCATTTGACCCAGCAATTCCACTACTGGGAATATACCCTATAGAAACCATAACTGCTACCCAAGCAGACATATGCACACCCATGTTTATTGCTGTTTTATTCACAATAGCAAAGAGTTGGAAACAACCCAAACGTCCATCAACAAATGAATGGACAGAGAAGCTGTGGTATATTCACACAATGGAACACTATGCTGCATTGAAAAACAAAGAACTCATGAAAACATTACACAAAATGGATACCCCTGGAGGACATTATGCTGAGTGCAGTATCTCAGTCACCAAAGGACAGATACTGAGTAGTGCCACTGTTGTAAAACAGGATTGATATTGGGGTTGAGGAGAGACTGAGAAAGAGGGGATAAAT